CCCTTCAAGGTCTTTGGTTGTGTGGCCTATGTGCACTAACAAGAGCTCATAGTGTTGTTTTCTTGGAGTTTCAACTGAGTCCAATTCCTACAGGTTATTTGATCCAGCTACAAAGAAAGTGGTAGTGAGCAGAGATGTGGTTTTTGATGAAGGTAAAGGGTGGATGGAGGAACCAGAAGCAAACTCAGATAGCTCTAAACTGATGTGTGATGGCTGTGATGACTTATGGGAAGCATCAGATAATGAAGAAGAAGTGACAGAAGATGTTGTAACTACTGCAGAAGAATAACCTAAGAGTCCAAAAACACCAGGAGTCTTTACTGATGCAGTTGAGTCTGATGATGAGGGTTCTGGTTCCAGAACTGACGTGTTGGGCTTACATCCTAGGGTCAGGCATCCACCATCTCAATTATCCATATATGACTGCAGCTTTGCAGACACAAATTGAAAGCTGATGATGGCAGTATCTAATCCTCAAACGTTTGAGGAAGCCTGGCAAGATCCAAGATGGAGACATGCTATGAACCTAGAGTTTGATTCAATTGAAAGAAATCAAACCTGGGATCTGGTAGAACTGCCAAAAAATGCAGTAGCAATTGGCTGTAAATGGGTGTATAAAACCATGTTGAAGGAAGATGCAACTTTGGATATACAGAAAGCTAGGTTGGTAGCAAAGGGATATGCTCAAAAGGCTGGTATTGACTATACAGAAGTCTTTGCTCCTGTAGCAAGGTGGGATACAATCAGGACTATTTTGGCTTTGGCAGCAAATCACGGCATGACAGTCTATCAATTGAATGTCAAATGTGCTTTTCTTCATAAGGACCTTTCTGAGGATGTTTACTAGGAGCAACCTCAAGGTTTTGAAGTTGATGGGGAGGAGCATAAGGTATACAAGCTCAAGAAAGCTCTATATGGACTCAATTAGGCTTATCGGGCATGGTACAGCATAATTGAAGGCTATCTGCTGAAGACTGCGTTTGAAAGGTGTCCGCATGAACATACTTTGTTCATCAAAAGTTTGAATTTGGAACAGGCATGCTAATTGTCAATATTTATGTTGATCATGTGTACGTTTGAGTCCAGAAGAGTTGTTAGAGCTTTTGAAGCTAAGTGGTAGATCATGGTTGTTGGTTTGTAGGAACCAGGAGTTAGTGGTAAAGCTCTTCAAGCCGTGTTTGTGGCTAGAGCAAGTGAGTCTTTATATTCTGGACAGTTATTATCAATAAAGCTTGTCAGATTGCAAGCAACTGGGTTTACAAGAACCTCCAAGACCAGGCGGCAACAAAACCGAACAGCCCATTTGTCTCCAATCTTCATTCTCCATCTCTGATTTCCACCATACTACAGTAGTAAGTTTATTCTCACTTAAGCTCTTTTCAATCTCTTTCCCATCTGTGGCCGGCCACGTCACAAATCTCCTGCCTACAGAGTTGATTCGAAAATGAGTAATTCCAATCTCAATTGAAATTTGATGGGATTCCTGGTTAAGTTTGTCGAAGGTATATGAATGTTGTTTCCCCCATAGCATATATAGATGGCGTGTAGGGATGGCAATGGGTCGGTTTTGCCAAACCCAAACCCGTGGGTTTATCTGTGAAAAAAACCCGGGGTAAAACGCACTAGGTTTGAAAACCTCAAACCCAACCCAACCTGCTGGGTATCCGGGGGTTCATGGGTACCCACGGGTTTTTGTCGTAAAAAATTTACAATAACAAATTCCTATCAAAATTAACGTCAAATAGGGATGGCAATGGGCCCGCGGGCCATGGGCATCCAACGGTGACGAGTAAACCCGCGGCCCGCGACGCTCGGTGACGGGCTAGGGACGGATTCAGCGTTCCCCGCCCCGTATCCACCCCGAAACACAAAACGATGTTGTTTTATGTGCATATATAATCTTCAATTTTAGGGCTAGGGTTTGGAGACTTCATTTTCACAAACTCCCAGCCGCGCTCCTCCCCGATTTTCTCTTAACTCTGTCAAGGCGAATCGCCGAAGTCGACCAAATCTGTTCGATTCCGACGATTTCTCCTACTTTCTCTACTGTTTTTCCTTGTAAAGCGACGATCTCATCACTTATAATCCTAAATCTAACCCTCAATCAAGCCCCCAATCACCTAAAATGTCTCAATCGACGGAAATGCTCTTCAAGTCGTGCATGCAGACGATTTGTTTCCCAGAATATCGAGATAAGTATTCAATTCTTTCTTTACTTAACCCAATTTTCTTGATCCCCATCGGAGCAGACTTGATCCTGCAACAATAGAAGTCATGAGATATTAAGGACTTGGATTCAGGAAGATAGCAAAGGTGATTTTTTTAGTTCAATTATGAATTATGTTTACTTTGCTATTGTTTCATTTTCTTGCTAATTAAACTGTTTACTTGAATCTTGCTATTGCTCCTAGTGTATGCTGCTGAATTGAAAGCATTGGAGGGCGTTTTCTCTGCTAAGGCAATGGATGATGCCACGGTGGAAGAGAGCACAGGTAATAAACTTTTCTTGTTGTAATTTGTTTATTCAGTTCGCCTAGGAATTTTACTAAACAGACTGTTATGTATCAGATGGAGCTGGAAAGCAAAAGGAGCTGGAAGGAGATGAAGACGAGGTTGCTGCAGTCAAACTGCTCGACTAACTATTGGTGTATGTAAGTGTGTTCTGTTTCTTTTTTTACTGTTAAAGCTTTGCTACTGCTGGAATTTTACTAAAGCCTTGCAGAACATAGTAATCTGAAGTTGTAAATGTTGTTGGAATTCAGGAAATCTTAATCTAATTGAAAGAAGATGCAAGGACGATTAAGAGAGACTTAGGAGTGAAGATTCCACACTGATTGTTGCTCTTTAGAATGGCTTCTGTTTTTGTTTTTTGTGTTTCAATCTTTCAGACTCGCAGTGTTATTTCAGAAGTTTGTTAGCTGGGATTTTTTTACACTCTGTGGGTTTCAATTCTGGGTTGGAGTGATTGTTATTTTTGGGTTTATTTATGGTCGGATTGTTGATTTTGAGTCAGGTTCCTGGGTTTGCAGACTGCAGTTCATGGTTGTTTGTTAGCTGGGATTTTTTTACACTCTGACTCTGTGGGTTTCAATTCTGGATTTGAGTGATTCTTATTTTTGGGTTTATTTATGGTCGGATTGTTGATTTTGAGTAAGGTTTCTGGGTTTGCAGTTCATGGTTTCTTGTTGAATGTTATAAGAACTTGGTTTTCATAAATTCAGGTAATGCTTAGGGAATGAATTGAAATTGGTTGGCTTCTATTTCTGGACAGGTCAAGGGTAACCATTGACCCGCGGGTTCACCGATACCCGTTTGGTCTTGGGCTTGGTCCAAAGTTTTTGCCCATTAAGGTTAATGGGGCCGGTCCGGGTTTTACCCGCGGGCATATATAGCGGGCAATGGATATGGGGTACTCGCCCCGTATCCGACTCATTGCCAAGCCTAACGTCAAATATCAATCTCTCAATACAAATTATACATATTTAAAACACCATTCTAGAAAATTCAAGCAAATCACAAATTAGCTATACAAATTGTTCAACACCAATCTAGAAAACTCAAGAAAATTGAAGCAAATCATAAATTATCCATAAATAACATGATTAATTGAAAGCTTCTTCCTTTCAATTAAGTTTCTTCACTTTCCACTCGATAACATCAACTTCATTCTACACAATTAGAAAGAAAAAATTAGATATATCTCCACAAAAATAAATAAGATTAGTTGTTTAGAATATTAAATCTACTTAGAAAATTAATTATATGGATGTGGGCGGGTACCCGCGGGTCGTGTTTACCTAAACCCAAACCCAACCCGGTGAATAGTGAACGGATTTAAACCCAAACCCGGCCCAAAACCCATCAACACGAATTTTACCCGCATTGATTGGGTTAGGTCGAGTGGGTACCCATAGGTTCGGGTTTTGTTGCCATCCTAATGGCGTGTCTCTTTGAAACTATAGCCGCTGAAAGCTTAAATTAGTGGGCACTTTTATTTTGGAAGAATGATGAATTAGTGGGGATTGGGCAAAGTGAGAGATGGTGGTAGGGGGAATGAAAATGATCCTTGAGTTGGTTCTGTTTTATCTTTTTATTGTTCTTGTTAAAAATGTTAATAACCCATATGCTCTCTGCTTGTAGCCACCATGAAGAGAAAACAAAAGAATTTGGATTCATTTTTTACAAAAAAATGTTTTGCCGCGAAGTGATGATCATTTAGAAGATGAAATACAAGTAGTTCCAAGAGCTTTAAACTTTGGGATTGAGGAGCACTCTAGTCAGGATTAGGGATGGCAACAAAACCCGAACCCACGGGTACCCACCCAACCCAATTCGGTTAACGTGGGTAAAATCCGTGTTGACGGGTTTTGGGCCGGGTTTGGGTTTAAATCCGTTCACTATTCATCGGGTTGGGTTGGGTTTGGTTTAGGTAAACCCGACCCATGGGTACCCGCCCACACCTATATAATTAATTTTCTCGGTATATTTGATATTCTAAACAACTAATCTTATTTATGTTTGTGGAGACATGTCTAATTTTTTCTTTCTAATTGTGTAGAATTAAGTTGATTTTTTCTTTCAATTAATCATGTTATTTATGAATAATTTGTAATTTGCTTCAATTTTCTTGAGTTTTCTAGATTGGTGTTGAACAATTTGTATAGTTAATTTGTGATTTGCTTGAATTTTCTAGAATGGTGTTTTATATATGGATAATTTGTATTGAGAGATTGATATTTGACTTTAATTTTGATAGGAACTTGTTATTGTAAATTTTTACGACAAAAACCCGTGGGTACCCATGAACCCGCGGATACCCAGCGAGTTGGGTTGGGTTTGAGTTTTTCAAACCCATTGGGTTTTACCCCGAGTTTTTTTCACGGATAAACCCATGGGTTTGGGTTTGAAAAAAACCCGACCCAACCCGACCCATTGCCATCCCTAATCAGGATGAGTAAATTCTTTCACTATTCTTTTAGTTAAAATCTCATATCACTCTCTTACACGAACCTTTTAGAATTTAACCTTCTCTTAACCGGCCGATAGAACTTCCAGGCCGATACGGACAGGAGAGGAGTCCCTTTCCAGCCAGTGACCAAACACTTGCCGTCCCTATCCACCGTACACGATTCCCCGGACGCGAAATTCCTGACCAGCAGCGCCGCCTGATAGAAAGACGACGAGCTGATCTCCAGCTCCATCATCCCAACTCTGGAGAAATAATCCCGCCATTCCTCGATCCTCATTGGCCGGTAAACCCGCTCCTCCTCGCCCTCCACCGCCACCGCGTCCCGAATCTCGATCCCGACCGCCGACTCCACGATCCCCCGGTCGCCGTCCGATCGATCGAAGCAATCATCCAGACAATCGAACAGCGCGCCGTACAGAGCGATCGCGCCGTCGAATCGCTCGACGAATTCCGTCGCGTCGTGGTTCGCCTCGAACTCCGCGACCACGATCGCGCAGGGATTCAGATTTCGGAGGACTCCGCACAGAGAATCCAAACCTTCCGCCTGAGCTCGAAAGTTTTTCAGAATGTTCCAGGCGAAGACGGCGACGGCTGTATCGCCGCGGCCGATCTCGAACATTTCTTCCTTCAAATCCCTAATCCCGTCAACCATCACGCAATTGAAACGGAAAGGAATGTTCAGAGCCTCCGCGAAGCTCGCCAGTCGCTTCCCTGTCTCCTGGATACGCTGCTGCCACGATTCCCCCGCCGTCGCCACCGCCGTCACCGTCAGGAGCTCGATCGGAGCTCCCTGTCGGTTCGCCAGGGCCTGCATCAGGACCGTACATTGTCCGCCGCTCCGAATCGCGAGATCGATGAAGTGTACTTTCCTCGCCGAAGCTACGCTCTCGATCACGGTCTGGATTCCAGCAAATTGAGTAACCTGTAACAAAAAAATCAAATTCAAATCACATGACAATTCAAATCGAAATTCAAATAACACACCGACTGACCTGAATGTAGGGGAGTTTCAAGGAGCAAGCGATCAAAGCGGGATTGGCACAGGGCGGCGTCGTTTGGCTCTGATCCGATTGCCCCTGTTCTTCTTCCTTGGTGGCTCCGATTTCGCGGTCGATTCTCTCCTGCAGGGATTTGGTGAAGAAGTAGACGAGTCGCTGGGCCGGAGAGCCGGACGGGGACGATAGGAATCGGCACCAGCTGAGGAATTTGATGGATTGGTCGATTTGTTGGGAGGCGAATTTGTGGGCGGAGGCGAAGAGGAGGAGGACGAGCTCGACGTCTTTGATCTCATCGGCGGAGAGGTTGAAGTGGGAGGCGTCGAAGAAGTGTTTGAGCTTGGAGAGGTCGATGCGGTGCTGGAATGAGAGCTGGAGGAACCTCGCTTTGGCGACTTGGAGGATTTCTCCGGTGGATAGTATTTTCCGGTCGCCGACGGCCGTCATAGAGCTCAGTGTAAACTGTAAAGAAGGAATTGCTGGAATATGAACCCCGGGCAAGCAGAAAAGCAGGAGGTTCCTTTTTGGGATGAGTTGATGACGCCGACTCCGTACGTGTGATTTATATTTTATACTCGGTGCGGTTCCATACTCCAGCTACGTAGCCAAAATAAATAAAATTTGTTTTATTCCAGCCGTTTTATAGTTGATTTTTTTTTATACATGGTATTGCGTATTTGTGCTAATTAAAAAAACTAAAATAAATAATACATTTGTATTATTTAATATAAAATAATTACAATATAGATATAGTAGCTATCTTAGAGCCTCGAATAAGAATCTCAGAAACTGATAAGCTGATTAAGAAGCGGTTTCCTGATTGAGAGTCTAAAGTCAAGCATAATCCAGCAGGATTGGGAAAAATATGGTTGCTCTGGAGAAAAGAAGTGAAGCTCGCTCAGAGTGCTCCATTCATCGGATCAGTTTGTTCACTTTCTGGTAAATGATGATCAGAAATTCTTTAGCACAGTGGTTTATGCATCAAATGATGAGAAGTCTAGGTTAGTGCTTTACAATGAGATCTCACGGATTCAAGTAAGTAGTCAACCTTGGATGGTATTGGGGGACTTTAACGATGTAAGGCATCCTTCTGAAGCATCAAACAGCCCTCAGTCGGACTCTAGTATGCACTTTTTCAATCAGTGGATTGTTGATCTTGAATTAGAGGAGCATCAAGCCACAGGTCCCTGGTTCACATGGCTTAACAAGCAAACGACAAGGCCTATTGCCAAGAGATTGGACAGAGTTCTAGTCAACTTTGAATGGTTGGAGCATATGAAGGATAATAAAGTGCATTTTCAATCTCCTGGGATTTCTGATCATTGTCCTATGTATGTTGAAACTGAGGCAGTTTTGAAATCTCTCTCTAAGCCTTTCAAGTTCTTTTAACTTCTGGCTACAACACCCCAAGTTTAATAGTCTTCTTGAGGAAACCTGGAGTAGTAGGGTCACTGGTCACCCATTAGTAAGAGTCTGCAAGAAGTTGAAAAATCTGAAAAACCTCTTGAGAAAGTTGAATAAGGAGGAATACTCTGATATTAGAGGAAGGGTCAAGGAGAAGAAAATGGAGTTGGACTTGGTTCAGCAGAAAGCACTGGCTGATCCATCCCCTGAAAACTTTTAGGCTGAGGGGGTTGTGATGGGGGAGATAAATGTTTTGTTATCTGCCGAAGAAAGTTTCTTGAGGCAAAAATCGAGGGAGACTTGACTAAAGACAGGTGACACAAACTCTGCTTATTTTCATCGCTCGGTTCGATCCAAACAAAGAATAAGTACAATTCGAGTTCTTAAAGATGAAGATGGTCTGAAAACTCAAGATGTGGATCAAATGACTCAGATTGTTGTTAGGTTCTATGGTAACTTGTTGAGGAAACTAGGGATGGCAATGGGTCGGGTCGGGGACGGATAGTGCATATCCGTTACCCTACCCAAAGTAGTTCGGGTTTTACCCATACCCATACCCACATAAGAAACGGGTAGAAAATCCAAATCGTGCCCATACCCGTTCGGGTTTCGGGTATCCACGGTTATCCATGGGTAATGGTTTCTCTTTATAACTTCAACCAATATATTAATATTCACACTTATTATCACGTTACGTAAGACGAAAAGTACGACAATTATTCACTAGAATGAACAAAATTAATTAAACAACACAATTCCAAAAAATATTATACTTATATGGTAAACATAAAATATGTTAGACAAAAATATTGATTATTTCTAAACTAAATACATATGCATGTGTATAATCGGGCGGGTTCGGGTTGGATAGTGAGAAAATCATGCCCACCCATTACCCGCAATATTCTAGTTCGGGTTTTACCCGTACCCACTAAAAGTCCTTCGGGTTCGGGTTTTACCCTACCCGATTATGTCGGATTCGGGCGGATATCCACGGTTGCGGATATTTTTGCCATCCCTAGAGGAAACCAGATCCTGAAGTTGAACCTCAAATTGGTGATTACTATGAGAGACTGCTGAAGAATAAGTTCACAGAGGAGCATATTGAGGGAATCTGTGCTCCTTTAACTGAAGTGCAGATAAAGGAAGTCTTATTTGCGATGGATGGTGATAAAAGCCCGGGTCCAGATGGTTTCACGGCTGCTTTTTTCCAGTATGCTTGGCCTTTAATTGGTCACGAGGTAACTCTTGCAATCCAATACTATTTTGAACAAGATAGTATCCCTAGAGCAGTGAATGCTACTATTTTGACCTTAATCCCTAGTCCCAAACCCAGATGAGATGAAGAACTTCCGTCTCATTTCTTGTTGCAACATACTTTATAAATGCATATCCAAACTGATAGCAAACAGACTTAGTGCTCTTCTTCCCTTCTTAATCAGTAAGAACCAAACAGCTTTTGTGAAGGGCAGACTTATTGGTGAAAATATCCTCTTAGCTCATGACCTGGTGACCAAGTATTCTAAATAGAATATCTCTACTAGATGTGCTATAAAATCGACCTAATGAAGGAATTTGATTCAGTGGATTGAAATTTTATTTTCCAAGTTCTAAAAAGTATGGGGTTCCCTGAAAGGTTTGTAGCATGGATTAAGATGTGTGTGGATACTCCTATGCTTCTTGTCAGTTTTAATGGGGGGCTTGTCAGTTATTTTCAAGTTAGTAAAGGGTTCAGGCAAGGGTATACTCTCTCCCCTACCTGTTCTCTGTAGATATGGAAATTTTCACGTGTCTTCTTGACAGATCTGCCACTGATGGGTACTTCCCTTTTCATCCACATAGTAAGAAAATTAAACTTACACATCTTTGTTTTGCGGATGACCTTCTGGTCTTCTCTAATGCATCAAATTGTGGAATTCTGAAACTTCGGAGGGTTCTCAGTCAGTTTAGTAGGATCTCAGGTCTGAAATCAAACCCTAGTAAGTGTGAAGTCTTTTTTGCTGGGTTAGATCTAGAGGAAAAAGGTAGAAGAGCTTCCAGATATGGCTATCAGCTTGGAGAGTTTCCTGTGAGATACATGGGGGTTCCCCTCATTTCAGGTAAACTCAGCCTTGCTGCTTGCAAGCCTCTTATTGTTAAATTGGTGGCTAAAGTAAGAAGCTGGCAAGCTAAGACCCTGTCTTATGCAGAAAGAATTGAGCTAGTATGAACTGTCTTGTACAGTTTGACACAATTTTGGATGTTAGTGTTTTTACTCCCCAAGGCTGTTATTCAAGAGGTTGAACAGCTTTGTAGTCGATTCATATGGGGAGTTGGGACTGGAACAAAGCTGAGAGCAAATATGGTCTGGCAGAAACTGACTTTCCCAAAGAAAGAGGGTGGCCTGGGACTTAGGGATATGAGCACTTGGAATGTTGCTTGCATGGAAAGGCATATCTGGCTTATCCTATTGAAAGAAGGCTCTCTGTGGGTAGCATGGATCCATGCTTATAAGATAAAAGAGCATAACTTCTGGACTTACACATGTAGAACTGGATCATGGAACTGGAAGAAGATCATTAAAATCAGAACTAGAGTTAGTCACTTGCTTTCTCTAGAAAATGACACAGTTCTGCTTAATGGTGTCCCACTGAATTCATTCTCAATCAGGAAGGTTTGGGACTTTATTAGGCCTACTCAGCATATAGTTCCCTTTTGGAAACTTGTATGGAAAGGGCAGGTTGTCCCAAGGAACAGGGTGATCTCATGGTTGGTTGTTAAAGGATGTATAAACACAAGGAGAAGGATGCTAAAATGGGGTTATTTGGGACCTATGAGTTGTTGTCTTTGTGATACAGGACTTGAGGATAGAGAGCACTTATTTACATATTGTTTTTTTCCGAAAACATTGTATGATGGTCTTCTAAGTAGCTCACTGAAGAGTACTCTTAGGCCTGGTTGGGATGATGCAATAACCCCTCTGGACTGCTAAATTTTCTGCTACTACTGAGACTGCTGAAGTGGGGAGGCTGATTTGGCAGTCCCGGATAAGTCATGTACGGCGTGAAAGATGATGTCGGATGTTTGCTGGTGTCAAACGTGGTGCTGATGTTTTGTTTAAGGTCATTAAGTCTGAAGTGGAACTGGCGGTTGGTAAACAGAGAACCCAGGGATATTGGATTTCTTGATTGCTTTTCTGGTTTCTGAGATGTAAACGTTTTGGTTTGGTTGTTGGTTTACTGCTTTGGTAGTGTTATTTTGAAAGTGATGTAGGCCTAGCTAGCAAGGTTGTTGCTAGCAGTTCTTTTTTGATGAAATTCAAACCCACCGATTCATAAAAAAAATTCATGTTAAATATCTTTTATTTATATTTTATATTAACATTAATCCTTTTATTTATATCATCTTAACTATTTTTTTTAAAATGGTAATTTTTTTGCAGAATTTAATCGTATATGTGATCTGAATGGAAATGTGTTAGTGTTTTTAGTTAAGGATTTGTTTTGGCTAGTTGTATTAGACAATTAGTGTTGCTTTCTTTGGGTAGAGATGCTGTGGTGGGTAATATTACGCCATATGCCGCCTTGGGCAGGACACTGCTTTCGCATCTAAATGGATCCGTCTGCTTCTGTTTGTCAAACCCAAAATAATTTAGAGTGAAAACAAAAAAAATAATTACAGTACTTGATGGTCTGGTATCTGGGGCATAGATTGTTTTTCCGGTTGATAAAAGAATGGGGTTTTGGACTGATTCTTCGAAGCCATTTTGCGAATTAGTTTTGAAAACGGCAAAACCGGTTTTGATTCCGTCCACTTCCCATTCCAATGCTACCTCTTAGAACAGATGGATCATGGACGTCCGTGGTCGGTGGTTCGTAACAAAACAAAATCACTGAGATGAAATCAAGTTTTTTTGTCGTTCTTGTTTTTGGTTTTTGGTACGTGCCTCCTGAGTCTTTTCGCTAATTACAAATAGGCCCCTTAGTTTTCTTTTTAACCATTTTATTTTGACTTTTTACATTGCCTTTTGTAGTTTTGTATGAATGCCGGAACTTACTGTAGAATTTCCTTTTCTTTTACTACCGATCTGATCAAATGTAACTAAATTTAGGTAAAAT